GGGGGGGGGGGGAGGCCTTTCCTTTAGGCTTTAGGGCTGGTCACACTTCCAGAGAAGAGCAAGGGTCCAGGGGCTGGTGCTCCATGAGCTGCCTAGAGGAGGAAGGCTGAGAGCCACTGAAGTCAGCATTTGGTTATGGAGCCACCCTACAGCCCTGTTTTCATACAGTTCCTAGGCCCTCATCTGTGCCCCTGGCTCAGATACCCTCTTTCTTATTACCAGAGAATAAACCCCCAGGCTTCTCCTTTCCTGTTTCTGCCCTTTCTCCTGCCGTGTCCTTACCTGAGCCTGACTGCCAGGCCCAGGAATGGAGGTCCTATCCAGGGGGGCATCAGAGCTCTCCTCTGGGGATTGGGACAATAGGCCCATCCTCTGTGGATGGTGGAACAGCAGATGACACACGGAGAAGGAAGCCAACACATAGGAGACAGGACATGGACAGTTTGCCCATGACTTCCAAGACCCTGGCCTGGTTCTTTAGCCTGCAGTCCTGAGGCCAGCTCTAGCCCTGCCCCCCAGTGCACCCCATCCTGTGCAACAAACCTCTCAATAATGGTCTCCATTGGTTTAAGTGCAGCGTGGCCTTCTACAAGACACAACTGAAACAGTCATGACTTGCACCCCTCTGTACATCTTTGGTCCTGGTAAAGGGTGCAGGAAGGAGCTAGGGGAGGCCAGCATGAGGACACTCATCCCACTGCATGCATGATCTGCACCCCATCCCCTTGAGTCCTCAAAGCATCCACATCAGGCTGAGTCCACCACTCAAGCCCTCCCCACAAAGCTGAGGCTTGGAGAAGTGAATGCCTTGGCCAGAAGAGCACAGCTAAGTGGAGAGCCCTGTTGGAACCCTGGCCAGTTAAGGGTGGATGATGAGAATGGAGTCATTGACACCTGTCAGCACTGTGGCCCCTAGGCCAGCCCCAGTGCCCCCGGCACTCCCCTCCCAGGGGGTGAAGACAGAGCTCTCCTTCCCTCCTGCACTCTCTTCTCCCTGGTAGAGGCCCATGTGAGTGGGAGGTAGGCAGTGTCCAACACTGTTCAATCAAGGAGCCAAGTCAAGGGTAGGGGAGGGGCAGTGGGGTCTCAGGAGGAAGAGCCAGTGGCCTTCATCCCAGAGGGTAGACAGCCAGGACTACAGAGCTGAAGGCGAGGGGAAAGGGGGAATTGGTGGACAGCTGGGATGCAGGCTCAAAAAGGTCTTCATCTCAGCAGAGGGTGAGCAGGCCGAGCGTAGAGGTCCTACTCCGAAAACCAATCCAGGAGTCATGGTGTCCTTGACTTGTCCTCCCTCACCCTACCTCTAACACTTGACAATTCCACCTCTTAAATAGATTTTTTCCTTTACATCATTTTAGTATAATCTACACATATTAAAAGTCACCTTATTAGGTATACGTTCTGAATTTTGACGAATATATAGTCATATTACCGCCATCATAATTAAAATATAGATACATAATTAAAATATAAATACTCATCATCCCAGAAAACCCCCATGTGGCTCCAGTCATCAATTTCCTTCCCCCACTTGACCTTTGGCAACCGCTGATCTGATTTTACTTTTCCAGAATGTCATGTAAATGGACTAACAGATGATGCCGCCTTATGTTTCACTGCTTTCGCTTAACATGATGTTTTTGTTACTTATCCATTTGCGCTCTTGTCAGCAGGCCAGTCCTTCCTGTTGCCAGACAATAGCGCACTGGATGGCTATACCACAGTTCATCTACTCACTGGCTAGTGGACATATGGGACGTTTTTAGTTTTTGACTGTTTTGAATAAAGCTGCTATAAACATTCATGTACAGATCTTTGTGTGGATGTTTTTCTCTTGGATACACACCCAGGAATAGGATAGCTGTGTGGTATAACTGGTGTATGTTTAACGTTATCAGAAACTGCCACACTGTTTTCCAAAGTGGATAATTTTGCTTTCCCACCGATAGTGTATGAGACTTCAAACTGCTCCACGTCATCAGCACTTGATATTGTCTATCTTTTTTATTACAGCCATCCTGGTGGGCGTGTAGTGATCGCTCATTGTGATTTTAATTTGCATTTCTCTGAAGTCTTGAAATCGTTTTAAAATCAGTTCCTTCCTCTAGACACCTGCTGCCATGGCCCCAGGCCAGGCCTCACCTTCTCTTACAAGGGCCTTTCAATAGCACCCTAACTGGTCTTGTAGCCTTAAGCCCCTTATCCCTGCAATTTCATGTGCCCTAGTAATCTTTCCAAAATAACCCACATCACTCACTTCCTTTCTTAACACCCTTCAACAGCTGTCCTTTACCTCCACAGCCAGGGTCCCCATAGCCAGGGCCCCCAAGGGCCAGTAGGTAAGGGATGAGTTAAGCTGCAGCCAGGAGTGGGCAACAGGCAGTGGTGGGCACTGTGGTAAACTGGGAGCTTCGCCTAAATGGCAGCTGCCACTCAGTTCCAGCTGACTGGTGTCCTCTGGGAATGCAGGCTCCATATTGCCAGAGCTTCTAACAGTGCAGGTGAAACCAACAACTGAGATGTTTCAAGTGAAAGCTCCCCATTTTTAAAAGCTGGCAATTAAAGAAAAAAATCTCTGGGGTAATCAAGGCATATCAGTGAGCTGAAGCCAGCTCAGTGCTGTCCCACCCACTCAAGGTCCTCATAACTCTCCCATCTCCAGCAAGAGCAGGTGATGTGTGGTCTCCCAAACACAGCATGCAGGTCCTTACTTCTGAACCTTTGGGTCTGAGTGCCCTTTCCACCTAAACAACTGGCCCAGCACATTCCTGCTGGCTTTCTAGCTTCATCTGGGGCTCCCTCCTGGTGGAGACGTTCCTCAACTGCTTTTCCCTACCTGGCAGGCTAGATGAGCTGTCAGTCGTGCTCGTGTGTCCTCCCCAAATTCTCATCACACTTGCAGCAGGATCCTCTCACTTGCTGGCTTCAAACAAAATTCTGTACACTCTTCCAAACATGGATCAGTACCCCACTTGTCACCTCAGTTCTGTTCACTGTATTTCATAAACAAAAAAACAAAACAAAGCAAAAAGCAGAATCCTTTCAGAAAACTCAACATGAAATATGTATAGGTGTGTGTGTGTGTGTGTGTGTGTGTGTGCATGTGTGTATGTATAATGATTTTTGGTACTCACTTTGCATGGGGTGAGTGCTGTAAACTCAGGGTTGGTGTATGTCTGGGAATGGGTGCCCCTTCCTATTCTGAGAGAAAGCACCCACAAGTGCTCCCAGGTAAAACCACAGACAGCTCTGACAGCCAGACATCACTAATTTCCCATAAGCCTTGATGGTGGAAATTTTCCTTCCCTGTTTTCTGTTGTGCACTTGGAGCAGGAGGCAGGTGAGGCTGCAGGGAGGACGACTGTGGGCAAGAGTAGGAGCTACAATTTCAAGCACACACGAGGCCATAGTCAATTTAAAGAAACTCCCTCTGGTGGCCAAGGTGGGGGTTGGCCTAAGAGGGATACCACGCTGGATCCCTCCCTCGACCCGACCCCTCCTTTGAGGCTCTGGTGGCCCCAGCCTGCCTCTCGGTCACAGGCTTGCCGCCCTCCGCACGTTCTTCCTCACTCCCACCACCACCTTCCACACTCCCCTGCCCCCTGACCTCCCCGTATGCCGGGTCCTGCTCCTTTCCCCCGTTTTGGTCCGCAGCCCGGCCACCCGTGACAGCTGCTCCTTCCCCACA